GATTATCTAGCTTGGTCGGTTAAGAAGATACATAACTCCAGCCCCCACCCCCACCCCGCCCACACTTATTTCAACCTAAAAGATTGGCATGTCGGTAGTCTGGCTCGGGCAATAAAATCTCTCTATCTGCACATCTGGTTTATGTCAAGCTCATTCAAGAGCTTAGGACAAACATATAGCCCCTCGAGCCAGGAAATCAGGAGAGGGGGAGAAGAGTGGAACATGTCTTTTCAATATGGAAATCTATATATTTTTGGTAATTTCTTTTTTAACATTCACAAACACTATAAAATACCCTTTCTCGAATTAATAACATGTTCACACATTTCTGTAAATATCCCGAACTAGAGGAGAGTGTTATAAACTAAACACATCTTGGCAATAACCGGTAGCCAGTTAATCGGCAGAGTGATTTATGATTAATGATGTTAAAACATTTATATTTTTATTAATACCAAACAATCTTTACTGTTTGCAAGTATACTTGTTTAGAACCTGTACTCTGCGCCATATAATAGCAATTGTGCAAAGTAGTGATACTTGTAAAACCCTACAATATTTTTTTTTTTCAAATATCATTTTTTTAGATGTTTGAATACAAAATTGTTATAAGGACATAAAAGAAGCAGGGTGAGCATGTATGCTCCGAGTTTTGACAGAGAGGGATATTTCTCGTGTTCAACTCACTGCCCTGTGAAGCCATATTTTTTGTGGCCTGAGATGCCAAAAGCAAGTCTGCGCGCTCTTTTCATCTTTCGGATCTCTCACATTAATCAAGAAACAGAGTATCAATTACAAGTGCTCGGGTGGGGTGGAAGCATGAAATGAAAAATAATTATAAGCAGTATCCTTGGGACACAAGGTTACTCTGCAATTCATCTCCTTCAATTTATGCTGTGAAATATCACCCAATTAGCCTGTTGATCTTGCGAAGCAACCAAATGAGCGTTAATTGGGTTGGTAAACTACAAATTTAAACTGCAATTACCCTCCCCCCCCACTCCCCTGAACATCATACTGGCAGGTTTGCAAATGAAGACTATACCACAGAAAAAGTTTGGGGCCCAAAAGAATGCCAGCTAAGGACACGTTTGGGGAACACGTTTGTACACGTAATGATGGACATTTGCAGGTGTAGGACCAGAAGAGAGCCTCTTGTAAAGAGCTAAGAACCAAGGGACCGAATTTGATTTGAGGACCAGAAAAGAGGCTTAACAAAGGCTTTGCTTTTATAAAATTATTTTATTTAAAAATGTTCTTTTTCTTTATGACAACTCACTGTCGGCTATTGCCTTATACAGCGATAGCTGTAATATAAAGGACTGAATAAGGTGTGTTGAATATTAGATATTCGTTATACCTATGTACAGGTAAACATATCAACGTAATAGGCCTACATGTCTATCGTTATCAAGAATACGATTATAGTAGTAGGTTCATAGGACAGCTACAGAGGAGTGGGGATTAAAATACACACTGTAAATATACCTGACACATGTACCGGTATGTAGTATGTATGTTTTTCATATTCAGGTATCCCGTATAAATAACGAAACATGTCCAATGCTTATTTAACACATCGGACGTTATCTCAGATGCCTTTATATTATCATGACTAATTGAGAAATGCATTCTGCATGAAGTTAAAAAACGGACTGAGTGCAAAGACAATGATTCTGACTGGTGCACACCTAACACATTGTACAACATTCAGGCGACATTGACATTTAAAGGCATTGCAATTAGGCATTATAAATAGACATAAAACCTTGTAGTTATTCTCTTGGGTTATATAGTGATGTATTAACCGTTTATTTACTCGGCGTGACGACGATTACGTCGCACCCCGTGGCAACTACGTCACCTTGTGACGACACATGGTAAAAAGTTCAGTTCTTTATCTGGTGTTATCATAATTAGCAGTTTTTCGTCCAGGCAAAGGTTGCATAGCTGTTTTTTCCCAATATATTTAAATAACTCAGTTTCTACATACGTTTTGTCCCTAAATGAGTTAGTGTGGTTGTTATATCTTAAATTGTATTACCCACCGCAAAGGCTTATACTTCATACTTTTTTTTTTTTTTTTTTTTTTTTTTTTTTTTTTT